GCAGAAGCTAAACCCCCCTCTCCACTCACCCTTGAGGCATTCGTAGTTTCCCCACAGCCTGAAAGAGGGACATAGCAAATGGATCAAACCCACAAGAAACAAGAAGGCTCCACCTCTTTGCTGGGAAAATGTCCCTAAAAGGTACCCAAACAGAGGGACCAGGGGCAAAGCTGCCACCTCCAATGAGCGCATGGTCCCGCCTAGGCAGCGGGCTCAGGAGTGCTTGGGGACATGAGCTGTGTTCCAGTTGGCTCTGTCTGCCCCCTTGGCAGGGCTTGACCAGTCCTCTCCCCACCCCCAGGTGGGAGCCCCAAGCCACTTTGACCTTCAGCAGCAACTGTGTATTGTGGCCCCTTCTATTGCTTTATGGGATTTGCTAAAATCCAAGGAGCAGAGATGGGTGCCGGCTTCTTGCGTAGAGAGTTCTGGGCTAACCTCCCCTGTGGCTCTCACCAGCCCCTCAGCGTTTTCACTGAAGTGCATGACAGGGGCTGGCAAATGGGTTGGCTTCAAAAGAGGGGCATCTCGCCCTGGTTGGTTTGGCTCAGCAGTTAGAGTGTCGGCCTGTGGACCAGAGTCAGGGGTTTGATTCCAGTCAAGGGCATGTACTTCCGTTGCGGTTCGGTCCCTGGCCCTTGTTGGGGTCCTGCAGGAGGCAACCAATCCATGTGTCTCTCTCACATCAATGTTTCTCTCTCTCTCCCTCCCTTCCTCCCTCCATCCCTCTCTATCTGAAGATAAAGGAAAAATACCCTCAGGTGAGGATTTTTTTTAAAAAAGATGGGCATCTCCAGGAATGTGGTCCAGGAGAGGACAGGCAGTTGGAAGTGAACAGCACTAGGCAGCATTACAATGTCTGTTTTTCTCCAAAACCCATTTCCTTTCTGCTCTATCGTACACTCTCAACACTACTGAGACCCTGGCGCAAAAGCAGCCGGGCGAGCCCTCGTTTGGGCTGCTCACTGAGGCGGCCACCCTCACGCAGGCACCCTTCCCGCTGTCTGCATCGCGGCCTCGGGAGCCTCAGCAGCCTGGCGGGGTCTCCAGATGTGCTCCCACACCTGGCTGCTGAGCCTGGGGACGGCGCTGAGCTGCGGCTTTTGTTGCATTCATTGCCCAAAGCTTCGCGGTGCTTCCCTGCCCCACCTCGCTCCTGTCCCCCTGAATTAGCCTGGAGGCTGTCAGGACCTGCTCTGCAATTCCCAGCTCTCGTTAGCGGGCTGCAGGTCAGGCATGGGGGGCATATCTCTGAGACCAGATTGTGGCATTTCCCGGATGCCCATGTGAGCCCTGGCAGAACTTTCTGGAAAACAGGTCATTCACAGTGCGGGGTGGAGTTTGGCTGCCAGTGACCACACTCTGTGGAACTTCCTGAGAAGTCTCTAAGACCGTACTGTTAGTCTCAGATAACTTTGCTTAAATGAACTAGGTAGGAATTGAGCCTGGCTGCGCCTTCACTGGCCCGTGGTCCCACTTGCTGACCCAGCACTGTTCCCGTTCAGCGCCCTCTGGAGGGCTTTGGGTGTCCCTAGCAGGCAGGGGAGCCACCGACCCCACCGCGACCTGCTGCCAGGTGGCAGGCACCGTGTAAGCACTGGGGGGTGGGAGGAGAATAAAGCAAACATCCTGGCCGGGGAGACAACAAGCCAGATGAACAGAAAAGTCCGTCAGTGGGTTGAGAGGATTAATGTTTGGGAAGGGCCTTGCAGAGGAAGGGGCTTTGGGAGGAGCAGCGAGGGGGTAGCACGATGGAGCAGAGGGAAGTGGAGGGACAGGGCGCTGAGGTGAGATGTGCCCAGAGGGCTGTGGCCGGAGGTGAGCTCGGGAACGATGGGGTCGCATCGCCCGGGGCCTGGTAGGCATTCGTAGAGGCTTCTCTCATGCCAAGGCAGACAGACGGCCACGAGTGGCCTCTGCCTCGGGCAGCCCTCAGCCGCTGGACATATGTGTCTGGAGTCACCTCATTTGGTCAGATGTGCCCGCAGAGGCCTGAATCCCAGCAGGGGCCGCAGCCAGAGCCCGCTCCTGAGAGGAGAGATCCGTGGGTCTGGCCTATCGCCACGTGTCCTGACACCCCTGGGCCTCTGCAGAGATCCCAGACTATGCACTGCCTGCGGGGTCTTGGCCACTCCGCATGACGAAGGTGGCCCTCCTTTGCTGATGCCAAGCAGGTCTGATGTCTTACTGGAGAGAGAAGGGAGTCAGTCTAGGACAGGTTAAAGGTACTTGTCTTTGGACACAGAGACCTTTCATCTGGGGACTAGACACCCGAGTCAGGCCCTCAGGGCAGGGCCATCTTTCACCCCTGAACTCAAAAGGTGTTGGTGGAGAGCACCCGGGTCCTCAGCCACGAACATTTATTGAGCTAACATTATGTGCCAGGCACCATGCTGAGCTCCTTACGTGGACCATCTCTGGAATACGCGCAAATGTTCTATGAAGAAGGAACTATTATTGTCAACCCCATTTTATAGATGAGGAAACTGAGGTGTAAGATAAGTCAGACTATACTGTGGACGGTAGAGCTGGAGTATAACCCCCAGGATTCTGTCTCCATAGCCAGGATTCTTAACCAGTTCTTTGGACAGGAAAGCAAACCAGATGGAGTTGGCAGAGGCAAGGCCTGTTTCCCTAAGAGATGGCAAATGTAAGGTGTGAAGCAGGGGAACAGCACACTTTCAAATGATTATTGAGTCTCTTGGAGGCATCGCGTGCTGTCTGGGGGCCAAGCCGCCAGGGAACCAGACAAAGTCCACGCTCATGAGCGTGACACGGATAACCTCAGGCAAAGACATCAGCCAGCACCGTGCTGGGCGCTGGGAGGGACTCACCAAAGAGCACTTCCTTCCCGCCGCGATGTCACTACCTCAGCATTCAGGACGCTCTGCTTTAGAATGTGCTGCCGTTTGCACCGCACTGAGTAAAAAGGTAGGAGCATGTGGTAGAACCCCGGACTTTAACATGTTTATAATGTAATATTATGCAACACAGGCCTAATTGGGAACCATAATTTTTTCATGAACCGGTCTCATTTTACTTGGTAATATCCATTTAGGTGTGTGAGAGCGGGGAAGCTCCATTTCTGCTCCGTTCTACGTGATTCAGGTGGTTCACTGATTTGGATTTTTACTACCCGCCATTCCAAGTGACAGAGTCGTACATCTCTTTAGAGATAACGAGGATCTTGCGGAGCGTGCGAGCCCTGTCGTCTCTTCAAGTATGCCTGGGGGGGGGAGCAGAGGCGCCCTGGGTCCGGGGATGGAGCTGCGAGCAGCCTCCGCACCACTGAAAACGTTTGCTTTGTCACAGAAATGCGTGCAGAGTTTGCATTTTACTCCTTTTTTTCTCTTTATTGATTTTAGAGAGAGAAGAAGGGAGAGGGAGAGAGAGATAGAAACATTGATGAGAGAGAACATCGACTGGCTGCCTCCTGCATGCCCCTTACTGGGGATCGGGCCCACAGCCTGGGCATGTGCCCTGACCGGGAATCGAACTGGTGACCTCGTGGTGCACGGGTCGATGCTCAGCCACTGAGCCACACAGGCTGGACTGCATTTTACTCCTTAATATATCCTACCCTATTTAATGTATCTGAGTTTCCTTCTACATCTTTAAGGCTCATTGGTAACCAAGATGATATACCCAGCCTTGAAGACCCTGAAACCCTGGCCCCTTGCCTGTCTCCACCCTGTGCCTTTAAGTACCTGGCATAGGTGTGCCATGCACCTATTGGCTCCATGTGGACACCTGAGGGGACGGTGGCAAGTGTCCCAAACCTGCTTCTGCCTCCTAACTTTCTTCTTTCTGTTCTGTCTCATTCTAGACTTCTGGCTCCATCTCTTACTTACATCACACTTATGAGTATAGAAGTCACAGTCCAGTGGGCTTGGCACCCCTGTTGGGTTTCTCTCATTCTGACCTTGAATGGGTTAATCTGACTACCTGTCTCTGAGGACAGATTTCCAAGCCCTGACCCACCAGCCTATGCCCTGGCAAGACATACCTGTTACCCCCATAAAGGAGGGATTTAAATGACCTGCTAGGTTTCCCCATTTCTTGTACACTTATTCTGAGACATAGTGCTTTTCATACATTATTTTATGTCATCCTCACAGATCTCAGGGATGGGTGAAGGGTATGATTATCCCCGCATTACAGGTGGGGAAATTGAGGCATAGAGAGGTTGAGTGTTTGCTTGTGGCCCTGCAGGCAGTGAATGGTGGAGCAGAAATTTAGTTGAATCCATCTGTGAATTCAAAGCCTCTGCTCTTATAGGTAATAGTGCCTCCTCCATTTTCTTGGAAAGTTCCGGGGAAAACATGAGCTCTTCTTGACCTGGTGTGGGAACTGCCTCCACAAAGTCCACCAGGGGCCATTGAGCAGTGCCCAGAGTGTAGGGGGCCCTGGCGGTGGATTGGCCACCCCGGTACCACTGATTCCCTATTCTGGTGGATAGAATCTAGAAACTGCAGGAGGCAGTCTGATGGGGGGGGGGGGGGGGGTCCCTGCGGCCAGGTGAATATCATTGGGGAACCAGGCAGTAAGAACTGGGCAAGGGAGCTGGCCTCCAGCCTGGGGACCTGGGTGTAGGGCAGGCTCAGGACTGGCAGGAAGTGGGGGTACACTTTGGGGACAGAGAGGCAGAAACCCTGTTCTAGGGCTGGGCCCAGCATCTCTGGCAGGGAAGCAGACTGGGAAAGGAGGGGGTTTCAACTTGAAGCCATGGGGCATCAAAGTCACGTCCATCAGCTTCTCAGTAGACCCTGGTGGGTATATTTCCATATTTCTCAAGCCTAGTGATTACTGGGTGGAGGAATGGAGGGATAGATGGATAAATGAGTTTGAGGAAGCATAAAGATTCCAGTCTCCCCTCTCCCTACCCCCAAAGATGGCACTAAAATTGTTTTACCCAAAGCAACGGTGAGGAAGGGAAAGGGGTTGTCATGGCATATGCAGAGGTGCACTCTGACCCACTGTCTCCTTATCCCTTCTTTCTCCAGAGGCTCCCGCCAAGCCCGAGGAGGCCGAGGCTGAGCCCTTCACAGACTCCTCTCTGTTTGCACACTGGGGCCAGGAGCTCAGCCCTGAAGGCCGGCGCATGGCCCTGAAGCAGTTCCAGTACTACGGCTACAACGCCTATCTCAGTGACCGCCTGCCCCTCGACCGGCCCCTGCCTGACCTCAGACCCAGTGGGTGAGCAGAGTCAGTGGCTGGGCTCTTGTTGACCTGCCGGTGGGGGGCGGGGTCACCACAGTGCTGGGGACAGAGCCAGGACTGGGCATTTGGACTCCTGGGTCCCTTCCTGCTTCAGCCAGGGTCTGTCCCCTTGGCCAGCATTGGGCAAATCCCTCTCTTCCTTCTTCTTCCTCGGCCTCAGTTTCTCCACCTCTAAGCAGGGGGAAGGCTTTCTTCCATTTGAGATTTTGAAGATTAATAACCTAATTTACTTCTTAAGGGCACTAGAATCATCTAGCATTCCTGTTAATAAGTCATTTTAACCCAAGTAGTTGCATTTTTATGAACAATTATTTTTTCTGTAAATTAGCTTTTTAAAGTACATCCATCTTCCAGGGCTAACAAGTCATTACACCTAACAGAGAAGTCTGTCTTGACTTCTCTCTTTGTTACAGAAGATGTTCCTTTAAGGTTCAGTTAGAAATTTTATTACTCCTAATTATTAAAAATGTGGGCACATACCACAGCTGAGAAAATCTCATTAACTTTTGTGAGCTCACCCCACACCTTCTTTTCCCCTCTTTCTCCTTATTTTAAAAATTGTCTTAAAGCTGCACACCATAGTGAGCTTATATCTAGAGTTCTCAGGAAAGAAGCTGCTGCTGGGTTTGGAGGCTGTGTTCTTCGGGGGAGGAAGTTCAGTTCAGTTTAATAGAACTTGCTGAGCACCTGATATGTGCTACATAATTGTGCATGGTTTTCCCTGGCCCAGGCATAATCTGTCTGGGCTGTAGGGATGAAAGGGAAGCTGAGGACCTATAAGGGAAAAAGAGTATATGTTCATTTAAAGGACAGTTACTGAGCACTTATTGTGTGCCAGCACAGTGTAGGCCTGGGGATAGTGCCATCTCTCTCGCCCTGCCGAGGGTCGGCTTAACGCAATGAACTACAAGCACACGCTGGTAGGAGTGAGGGGGAGCATTGCAAGAGAGCAAAATGCTCCAGATCTCTGGATGCAGCCCAGTTTATTTCCAAAGTGGTTCTCCAGGTTACATGTTGATTTAGGCAATTATTTCCTTGAGATGACACCTCTGCTTACCATACAGCCAAACCCTGTCTCTCACATTTTACTGTGAGGAGACATTCAAGATATAAAATAACAAAACCATCCAAGCCTGGGCTTCCATGGCCCATTATCCTCTCTGGGCAGTCTTCCAACCCATTGACATGCAAACCTTATCTATTCACATGCAAACAAAACATTTCGTTCCAAACAGGGCAGTCTTCCTGCCCTCCAGGTAAACCTATTTATCCACACACACTTTGATCCTAGGCTGACCAGGTCTCGAGAATGCATATCACAAGGTGCATATCCACCAAACCCCCATCCCTACAGGATAGAGCAGTGAACAAAATAGGTAGGAATCCTTGACTTTATGGAGCTTGCATTTCAGTTGGGGGAAGACAGATAATAAACAAAACAAAGACGTCAACTGTGTAGCATGTTAGATGGCAGTAAATGCTATGGAGAAACATAAAGTGGGAAAGAGAGAGAGAGCCAGCCTGGAATAGGAGAAGGGGGTGAAGTTTTAATGAAGTGGTCATAGAAGGCCTCACTAGGATGGTGACATTTGAGCAAAGGCCTAGAGATGAGGAAGCAAGTCATGTGAATTCCTGGGGGGAAAGCTTTCTAGGCAGAGACCAGCAAGTGCAAAGGTCCTGAGGTAGACATGTGTTTGGCATGTTTGAAGAAGAAGAAGGAAGCTTGTGTGGCTGGAACAGAGCAAGCAAGAAGGCAGTAGGTGGAGTCAAGGTTAGAGGGACAACAGGACACAGATTGCTTAGAGTAGTGGTTCTCACACTGGCTGCACATTGGACTCATCTGGGAGCTTTCAAATATTACTGATGCTGGGACTGCACTCAGACCAATTAAATAAGAGTTTCCAGAGGCAGCACTCAGTATCCATATTGTTTCTAGTTCTCAGGTGATTCCAATGTACAGCTGAAGTTGAGAACTGCAGAGAAGGGCTTCGTAGGCAGCTGCAAGGCATGTGGCTTTTGCTCTGTAAGATGGGAGTCCATGGGAACAGCTTGAGCAGATTAATAATGTGCTTTGGTTGTCATTTTCAAAGGCCCCTCTGGCTGCGGTGTTGAGAACAGACTGAAGGGCTGGGTAGAAGAAGGGAGACCTGTTAGGAGCTTTCCACAGAAATCCAGGTGAGAGGTCATGGTGGCTTGTGCCAAGACAGCAGTGGGGCAGGTGATGGGATAGGGTTGGATTCTGGGAATATCCTAAGGTGACTTCGGCTAGGTTCCACAGGGTTTCAGCCCTCTCGGAGTGCTGGAGAGACCACACCTGGGGCTGGGGGAAAGCAGGTCTAATGTGGGCTAAACCTAGAGGCTCTGCAGAAAGGGTCCTCAAGAGGAGTGGGGGCCCCAGGACCCCTGCAGGGCTCTTGGCCCTGACCTTGGCCAGCATAGGAGCCGCAGACTTTGCAGCCAGCTCTGATGCAAGACACAGGCCCAGCTCAATACATGTTTGTTCCACATTACAGGGGAAATAAGCAGGAAGCCAGGGAAAGGGAGGATCTCACAGACCACAGCATGGCTGTAACAGGGGCGGGCATTTACACGGGGCTTGACTTGCCGAGAGTGCCCTTCCCATTTGGACCACACAGCCTGCAGTGAAGGTCACAAAGGAAGTGATGCATTTTCCCAGTCAGAGTCATGGAAATTGAGGAGTGGAAGAGTAAGACTAATGTCCAAGGTCACGCCTTCACCCGTCCTTGGGAGCGGTGCCCTGCAGGCCGTTTCTCTCTACTGCCCTGGGGGAGTAGGAAGCGGGAGGTGGCGCACAGAGGCCCTGTGGCCTTTGTCGGAAGGGCCGGGCTCGCTGGCAAGCAGAGCTCCCTCTGAGGAGGTGCATTTTCAGAGGCAGCCCAGACTTCCTGCCTTTGCAGAGGAAGGGTCTCTGAAGGCCTCCAGGTGGTCGGATTCTGCAGCTTCCTCCCGAGCCACTGGGAAGGAGCAGTGAGCATAACAGAAAGACTTTCCCTCCGTCCAGAGCTTTAGTTTACGGGGCTGCCGTACCTCCCCCATGGCACAGGGGACGTTGGTCAGCCCTCTCTGCAGCTGGAAGACGCAGCTCTGCGAGGAGGCCGAGGGAGCTCCCATTCCCCCGGCTCCCGCAGAGGCCTGTCAACTCGGTTCTCTTCGCGCACGTACTCGGAGGCTCTGGGTGCAGCCCCCGTGCCAGACACGTGCCCCAGACTGGACAGATATTGGGGCGCCCTCCACACAAGCGTGTGCGGAGGGACATTGTGCCTCCTTTGTCTGTAAATCGCCACAAAAACATCCCTGCCTTGTAACAAGGTCATTGCTAGGCTTAGCCTGTCGGACTCATTTCGGAAACATCTTTTCAGTATCTTTTACTGTCCTCCTATTTCACATTACACTGGCAAACATTCATATGGCATGAGCCATGTTTTCTGGGACAGGTTGGCACTTTGGTTAGATTAACCCTTTGACTCCTGGCAGTAACCTGGCAGTAACAGCCACTGTCTAGGGAAAACGCACTGTCCTTTACCCCTTTTCTAACGGTCACACTCACAGTACCTCTGGCCCCTCACACAATCCTCTGACACCGCTGCGTGGCCGACAGTGCACTTCAGTTTGGACACTGCCTCCCTGGAGTTAGTACCAGATCCCACAGGCAAGGGCTCGCCCCCCACACTGCCCCGCTTCAGATGCTAGTCACCAGTCCCAGGTTGTCACTGGCATCTGTATTTGTGACTGACTGACTACCAGTTGGGGTTCCCACGACCCCTCCTTGGGCTCAGTAATTTGCTAGAATGGCTCACAGAACTCAAGGAAACAGTTCCTTGTGTTTACCGGTTCATTATAAAGGACAGGATAAAGGACACCGATGAGCAGCCAGATGAAGAGATACCTAGGGTCCCAAGTCGGGGAGCTTCTGTCCCTGTGGAGTTGGGGTGCCTCGCCCTCCCTGTACGTGGATGTGTTCACCGACCTGGAACTCTCCGAATCCCATACTTCAGGGATTTGTGTGGATGCTTCATCACACAGCCGTGATCGCTTATTACCTGACTTCTGCCCCTTTGCTCTCTCCAAGGACAGGGAGTAGGGCTGAAAGTTCCTCACTTCTAATCATGGCTTGGTCTTTCTGCTCCCCAGCCCTCATGTAGGGCCCGCCAAGAGTCGCCTCATCAGATCAAAGAATGTTCTCATCATCCAGGAAATTCCAAAGGTTTTAGGAGCTCGGTGTCAGGAACCAGGGTCAGAGACGAAACATTAGTAGGGAGTGGGGGCAGACCAATGTGTGTGGTTCTTATAATTTCACAGAAGCATTATTAATCTCCATTTTACAGAAGAGGAGACTGAGGTACAGAGAGATTATGTAATCTGCTTAAAGTCACTAGTTGGCAGAGCTGGGGTTTGAACCCAGGCAGTCTGGCAAAGGAACGTGTGCTCCTGGCTGTCACTGTGCCTTATTGCCTGCAGGTGTCTGTTTGTGCCCCTCTAATGGGGATGTGGGGTGGCTGATTCAACAGTGTGTAGCACTGAGCTGATCCATTCATCTGGTCAGGAAGGTCTGTCTCAGTTGGAAAATTGTTTCAGGGAACGTCAAACCCGTCATCTAGGAGAGAGGATGCCTCAGCGATGGCTAATGTGGGGGTTTGGAGCAAGGTAGCTGGGGGCATCTGGAGAGGAAGCCCCATGCTAAACGCCAGTTTCCAGAAGAGTCATGCCAGTCCCAGCCCCTGTGCCTCGCCCTCTTATGACCTTTGGTTTACCCTTGTGGGTGTGTGCCCCTGGAGATGTGCTTGGAATCTGCACTTTGCTCTTTGTATTCTTGGCTTTGCTCTTCCAAGTCCTTACCCTGATGCTATGCTTGGCTTTATTCCTGGACTGGAATGTGGGTGTTTCAGATCCTGCCCCATCTTTCCTCTCCTCACCTCTGGTCAGCCCGATTTTGTCTCTTTCTTGGCACTGAAAGA